GGGTGGAGAGGAGGAGGGAAAAAATGGAAGTGGAGGACTGGGAAACGCTTAGGGGAGGTAACACACACGACTTGTAAAAGCATATTTCTGGCCTGGCGCGGTGGCTCACACCTGTAATCCCAGCACTTTGGGAGGCCGAGGTGGGCACATCACTTGAGGCCAAGAGTTCCAGAGCAGCCTGGCCAACATGGTGAAACCCCCGTCTCTGCTAAAAATACAAAAATTTGTCGGACATGGTGGCACCTGCCTGTAATCCCAGCTACTTGGGAGGCTGAGGCAGGAGAATCACTTGAATCCACAGGCAGAGGTTGCAGTGAACCAAAATCCAGCCACTGCACTTCAGCCTGGGCGACAGAGTGAGATTCTGTCTGAAAAAAAAAAGAGCATATTTCTGCTTTCACATTCTCTGCTTTGAATACTGTCGAGTCACAGGCCACTTCTCTTTCCAAATGATTCTCATCTGTCACCTTGCCCCCCTTTATACCACCTCAAGAACCAAGAGACCATCTCCTCTCACAGTCTCCCGCCCATCTGTCTTGACACCAGGTTTACATCCAAATACAGGTTTACCCAGAAGAGAACGAAGCAATGTTCAGAACCCCTGAAAACTGTGTTCAAGGAAGTCATTTGGATTTTTTTGAGACAGGGGTCTCATTCTGTTGCCCAGGTTGGAGTGCAATGGTGCAGTCTTGGCTCACTACAGCCTCTACCGCTCCTGCTCAAGTAATCCTTCCACCTCAGCCCCCTGAGTGACTGGGACTACAAGCACACGTCACCATGCTAGGCTAATTTTTGTATTTTTTATAGAGACTGTTTCACCATATTGCCCAGGTTGGTCTTGAACTCTTGGACTCAAGCAATCCACCTGCCTCGGCCTCCCAAAGTGCTCACAGGCATGAGCCAATGTGCCCAGCCTCATTTGATACTTTTAAAATATATTTTTCATATTTTTTTTCTCAAAGATGTCTCCCCCCATTGTGTAAGTTTCAGGTCTTACAAACCTGGATCCACCCCAGCAGTCTGAGTTGCATGCATACATACCTCCCATTTACATTGTCCCTCCTCCCACTATTATGTCACCTTTCTAAACACCGCAATTAGGAGATGAGACAATGTACGGGAACCAAGAACTGTTCTGGTGAAGAGGACCCGGGGCAGTGAGAGGGGCTAGGGGAGCTAGTTCAGGTTAGAAGAATGGGTGCATGTGAGGGGCATGTGGAGAATGCCAGTTGGGGGAGGGAGATTGGCTGAGCCTGTAGGCACAGTATACACATGTAGTAATGGTAGGGATGTATTATGCCCCACACCAGGTGTTGTCCTACATCAATGGGGTCACAACAAGCAAACCTGGAGTATCCTTGGTCTACTCAATGCCCTCACGGAACCTGTCCCTGCGACTGGAGGGTCTCCAGGAGAAAGACTCTGGCCCCTACAGCTGTTCCGTGAATGTGCAAGACAAAAACGGCCAAGCTAGCGGCCATAGCATCAAAACCTTAGAACTCAATGTGCTGGGTGAGTGAGAAGCACAGACTTCCGGACCCCTCCCCACCCACACTGGGAGGTCTGGTGAGTCTCTCTCCTAAAGGGCGAGAGTTGGAGGAGGGACAAATGAAGTGACAGAAGGGTGCAGGGCAGAGGGAGAGGGTCTGTGGGTCTCCTGGTTGTGGTTTTAATCTGTCTCCCCCTGCCCAGTCCCTCCAGCTCCTCCATCCTGCCGTCTCCAGGGTGTGCCCCGTGTGGGGGCCAACGTGACCCTGAGTTGCCAGTCTCCAAGGAGTAAGCCCGCTGTCCAATACCAGTGGGATCGGCAGCTCCCATCCTTCCAGACTTTCTTTGCACCAGTGTTAGGTGAGGACACTTCTGGAAACAGCCGAGACTGTGGCTGGGGAAGGGGAAAGATGGGAGGTACCACAGGGACTGGGGTGAAAAGGGGAGCCAATGCTGACAAGCACGGGGGAGGAGGAGGAGGGTGTGGGGAGGATGGGGGCAGAGAAAGATGCCCTGCCAGGGCAGGTATTGTGTTAGGTGCGTTCACTGTGTATACTGTCAAGAAAGGGGCTCTATAGCTGGAGTCTCTGTGTTCAAATTCCAGCTCTTCTAGTGACTAGCAGTGTGACTCAGTGCCTTCATTCCCAAATTTGTAAAATGCGGATTTTACACGCATCAGCTTGAACTCATATAACTCACCAGTTATAAAAAAGTATTTTAGGGATAACTGAAAGATTTTTAATATGAAGTATTCGATGATTTTAGATAGTTATTTTATTAATTTCCTAGGCATGGCAATGCTATTGTGGTTATATGGGACAGCGTACTTCTTTTTTGGAGATTTATGCTGAAGTGTTTACTTTAAAATGTCTAAGTAAAAGCAAGAAATCAAATAAATATGGCAAAAAGTTAGCAACTGTTGGATCTAGGTTATGGAAATATGGATTTTCATTTTGCCTCTGTTTCTACTTTTCACATGATCATTTTTATAACAGTAGCTTTTTCTTTTTTAAAAATAATCTTTATTACCTCACAAGTTTGTTGGGAAATTGTGGTAAGTGCATACACATAAAGAATCTAGAGTAGTCTTTGGCACAGGGTAAGCAGCCAATAAACATTCACTGTTATAATGATTAGTTCATATTGTCCTTTCAACACCATTAGGTAGGTCATATTGTCCCCATTTTACAGATGAAGAGATGGAGACCCTCAGATATCAACTACCTTGCTTAAAGTCAGTCACACGGCCTGTTCTGGAACCCATGTTTACCAGTTCCTACCCCAGTATTCTTTCTCTCTCATCACGCTGTCTTGCCGAAATAAAAGTAAAATGGTGTTTTGGTTGCTCTTTGCATCACTTTCTCTGCGGCCTCCTGTCGGATATCCACTGGGGGCTCTGACTGAGGAGTGGGAATGGCGGTTATTGCGCTAGCCAGTCTGCAGCTAGGAGCCGAGCCCAGCTGTCACACCTCTCCCCCAGTCAGGAAATAGATAAGCCATGACTCCCAGAGGGTCAAAGGGGACATTCCAGAGGAGGGAAAAAAAAATATATATATATATATATATATTTTTTTTTTTTTAATGGGAAAGAGGGTCTCTGGACTGATGGCTAAATTGTGTCCACAGATGTCATCCGTGGGTCTTTAAGTCTCACGAACCTTTCCTCTTCCATGGCTGGAGTCTATGTCTGCAAGGCCCACAATGAGGTGGGCACTGCCCAGTGTAATGTGACCCTGGAAGTGAGCACAGGTCAGTGAGGGGTAAGTGTGGTTAAGAAGAGTGGTCAATGGTGGGGGAGGGGTTGCAAGTGGGGAGGAGGCCTGTCTCCTGAGGCCTCTCATTGTAACAGGGCATGGAGCTTGCCCTGATCAAATGTTTGTACAAATGGTTGGTCAGTGACCAGTCATTTCCTGCTCAACAGCCACCCCTCTCCTTGACAGGGAAAAAGAGGGAATGTGTATGGTGGCAGAAGGGGTAGGGGGAGTGGGATTGGAGGGGGTGGGAACCCCTCAGCTGGGTGTCCCCCCTCTAACACGATGCCTTTTCCAGGGCCTGGAGCTGCGGTGGTTGCTGGAGCTGTTGTGGGTACCCTGGTTGGACTGGGGTTGCTGGCTGGGCTGGTCCTTTTGTGCCACCGCCGGGGCAAGGCCCTGGAGGAGCCAGCCAATGATATCAAGTAAGTGTCCCTGGTCTCTGCTGCAGTGGGGGCTCTCTCCCTGCTCTCCTCACAGAGTCTGGGAATTCAGGCCCCTCTCATCTATTGGAATGGGGTCAGTGGCTGAAACATCATTCCTATGGGCAGATTTTAAGGGAGAGGGAAAGGAGTATTGAAGTGTGCAGGGAGAGGTGGCATATAAGACCTATCATGTAGAAACGCTCTCCTCCTTCCCCCTCCCACTTCTGACCTCTTGTTATTTCTTTGATGACTAGGGAGGATGCCATTGCTCCCCGGACCCTGCCCTGGCCCAAGAGCTCAGACACAATCTCCAAGAATGGGACCCTTTCCTCTGTCACCTCCGCACGAGCCCTCCGGCCACCCCACGGCCCTCCCAGGCCTGGTGCATTGACCCCCACGCCCAGTCTCTCCAGCCAGGCCCTGCCCTCACCAAGACTGCCCACAACAGACGGGGCCAACCCTCAACCAATATCTCCCATCCCTGGTGGAGTTTCTTCCTCTGGCTTGAGCCGCATGGGTGCTGTGCCTGTGATGGTGCCTGCCCAGAGTCAAGCTGGCTCTCTGGTGTGATGACCCCGCCACTCATTGGCTAAAGGATTTGGGGTCTCTCTTTCCTATAGGGGTCACCTCTAGCACAGAGGCCTGAGTCATGGGAGAGTAATCACACTCCAGACCCTTAGTACTCTGCCCCCACCTCTCTTTACTGTGGGAAAACTGTCTCAGTAAGACCTAAGTGTCCAGGAGATAGAAGAAGAGGAAGTGGATCTGGAATTGGGAGGAGCCTCCACCCACCCCTGACTCCTCCCTGTGAAGCCAGCTGCTGAAATTAACTCCTCACCAAGAGTGAGTGGCAGAGACTTCCAGTTACTAAGTCTCCCAGGCCCCGTTGATCTGTACCCCACCCCTATCTAACACCACCCTTTGCTCCCACTCCAGCTCCCTGTATTGATATAACCTGTCAGGCTGGCTTGGTTAGGTTTTACTGGGGCAGAGGATAGGGAATGTATTTTTAAAACTAACATGAAATATGTGTTGTTTTCATTTGCAAATTTCAATAAAGACACATAATGTATGTATGGGATAAGAAACAAGTTGCCTTTTCAAACTAAGAATTCTAGAAATTAAGCTTCAAGAGCACGCAAAGTGGAACCCTTCCCAAGCTGTGTACCCAGGAGGGCTTCTCCCCACAGGCTCAGAGCAGCTCTTCTAGTGTTTAGAAGGGTCCTTGTTTGTCACGTGGAGAAGAGGAGACTCTGAGCTACTCTGAACAGCAGAGGGATGGAGCTGGTAGCTTTCTGCTGGAGCTTGAGTGCTCCCGGCTACGAGGTGCGTGTACCTCATCTGCATCCTCTTCAGGGACAGGGGAGAGGAAGCTCAGGAGGGCTCCTCTCCCACACCACGGAATTCTGAACAAAAACACTTCTTGTCCATCTGGAAGAGATCTCTGTTGTTACTGAGGGAGCGCTGGGCATAGTATGGGGTGCAGGTCTGTGTCCAAATTCTGCCATGTTTTTTCCTACCAAGGGTGGGGTCTCTTTTAGGTGTCAGTTTCTCTGCCCCTAAAATGGAGTGGCTGTGGAAATGGAGAGGTGCTCATTTCCACCGAGACTCCTACCTCAGCAAGTGGTGAAATGAAAAGCAGTGTGGACAGAAAGGGTCTGCGGCCTGGGGCTCACACTGATAGTGAGGCTCCGAGGTGGGGACCCCACTTGCCAGCTCTGGGGTAGCAGGACACCTTCCAAAGTCAGCTTTCCTCCCGGAGCTCCAGTACTGAGCCCCTCTCTGCAGAAGGCCCACACCAAGCCCAGCCCTTTTCCCAAGGCCTGATAGCTTCAGACTTTGGGGAGAAGGAGGGAGCAGGAATAGAGAGATTGGAGAATTGGGGCTGGAGGAGAGGAGGGAGGCCCACTTTTTTTTTTTTTTTTTAACCTGCGGTGCCGGCCTCTCCCCTGTTTGCTCTGAGATACCAGTCTCGCTCCTGCCCAGCCCGGGCGGCTACCCTTGGGTGCTCCCTTCCCTCCCCGACACCCAGACCGACCTTGATCGCCCACCTGGCAGGAGCAGGACAGGACGGATGGACGCGGCCATGGCCGAGCTCCCGGGGCCCTTTCTCTGCGGGGCCCTGCTAGGCTTGCTGTGCCTGAGTGGTGAGGAGGCGCCAGGCAGGACCACGGCGAGAACTGGGGGGCATAGGCCTGGCTTCCCGGGCTCCTTGGGACCCACTCTGTCCCCGCCAGGCCAGATGAGGCTGCCGTGGGCCTCAGGGGCCCTAAGGCGCCTGGGGTGAGGCCGGGGAGGGGGTGTCGAAGGCCCGGAGTGGGGAGGAGAGAGGCCCCCAGGCCGGCGGGCGAGTTCGGCCTCTCCGCCCGCACAGGCCTGAACCACCCCACCGCAGGGTTACTGTTTTCCTTTCTCTGCTAAACACACACACCGTCTTACCGGGCCCGGTTCCGGCTCTTTTACCCACAAAGACCCGGCCCCTCCCGGAAACCTCAGGTTTTGGGAAGGGAGGGGTTGGATTGAGGGGAGAGCGTTGTGCTCTGGGGAGGGAGCCCCCAGCTTCCAATGTAGATGCCCGGGGGTGGGCCCGACCCTCCAGATCACTGGAATTTGGGTTCCTACCTCCCTCTGGTCCCCGGCCCCAGGGCTGGCCGTGGAGGTGAAGGTACCAACGGAGCCGCTGAGCACGCCCCTGGGGAAGACAGCCGAGCTGACCTGCACCTACAGCACGTCGGTGGGAGACAGCTTCGCCCTGGAGTGGAGCTTTGTGCAGCCTGGGAAGCCCATCTCTGAGTCCCATCCAGTGAGCTATGAGCAACTGCATGAAGCTGGGTTGGCCTGGAGGGACAGGAGCCCAGGAAGAGGGCATGGGGTAGGGAGGGGGCGTTTGGGGATCAGTATGCTTCGATGAAAAGGTAAGTGGGCTCTCCCAAGATCTTTTCAGAGCTGCAGTCTGCCTGACCCTATATCTTCCTTTCCTCTCCCATAGATCCTTTTTCCAACTCCCCTGCCTTAGTGTATTCATTGACACTAAGGTGTTGTGACTGATACCAAGATAATATGCTGCCTCTTCTGTCTCTCTCTTAGAGAGATGGGGGGTGGGGAAGAGAGATAGAGAGAGAGAGAAAGAGAGAGACCAATGGATCAGGTTCATTTAGCACCTAAAAGGGGGTGGTGTTTGGGAACAGAGAGACCTTTGAGGTTCCACCTACAGGGTGTCAGCTCCCTGGCTGATGTAAGTCAGGGGCCTCTTATACCCACTTTGATGAGGAAGGACTGTAGAGTTGATACTAGGCAGAAAAAGGCACATATGTGTGTCTTCTGCCTCTCCCCAGATCCTGTACTTCACCAATGGCCAACTATATCCAACTGGTTCTAAGTCAAAGCGGGTCAGCCTGCTTCAGAACCCCCCCACAGTGGGGGTGGCCACACTGAAACTGACTGACGTCCACCCATCAGATACAGGAACCTACCTCTGCCAAGTCAACAACCCACCAGATTTCTACACCAATGGGTTGGGGCTAATCAACCTTACTGTGCTGGGTAAGGCAGGCTGGGGATCCATGAGCCACATACTCTTTCACATACTTGGGGGGGTTTGCACTGGTCCTGCTAAATCTCCAGTTTCTGACTTTTGACCCCAGCACACAACTGCACTGGGGGCCCCAAGCAAAAATACTCTCTCTTCAAGTCTTCTAATCCAGATGGTCATACTGCAACTCCACCCTCCACTGAGAGCATCTCCTCCATCAGAGCCTAATAACAGAGGGTGGGAGAGAAAGCCCTTCCCATACGTGGGGATCTGAGTCTGCTCCCAGAAGCTCCATCATGGGGGAGCCTCTCATTGGGAGTTGGATTCTGTCCCTCCCAAGGTCAGTGGCAGAGAAGGGGAGTGGCCATCAAAGGAACAAGGGCCGATATTACTGAGCAGCAACTTTGTGCTCAGAGCTTCTGTCTCAACCCAAACTAGAGCCTGTTCAGAGATGAGCAACCACAAAAACTATCAAAGAGGCTGGCAGTGTTTAGATGGAAAAGAGAAGGCCTAGGATGGGTGTATGACTGCTGGATTCAACTATCTGAAGGGCTGTCATGTGGAGGAGAGATTTTAATTTCTCTTTGTGGGCCCAAAGGGCAGGAACTGAAACCAATGGGTGGATATTATGTTAACACACATTTTGGCTCAACATGAGGAAGAGTTTTCTCTAACAATCAGAATTTCCAATAGTGGAAATCTCTCAGTTCCTGGGGATGCAGTGGTGTGTGGACACAAGAGGACCACTGTTTGATAGGGGTATTGAAGTAGAGAATGTAGCACCTAATGAAGTTGGGAGTGGGGCTGGAAGATTGCTGAGGAACTTTCTGTTTTTTGCAGTTCCCCCCAGTAATCCCTTATGCAGTCAGAGTGGACAAACCTCTGTGGGAGGCTCTACTGCACTGAGATGCAGCTCTTCCGAGGGGGCTCCTAAGCCAGTGTACAACTGGGTGCGTCTTGGATCTTTTCCTACACCTTCTCCTGGCAGCATGGTTCAAGGTAAGGGCCCAGGGCATCAGGAAGAGGGGACTGGAGACCTGGGCAAATCTGCCACTTCCTTGGCTTCCTGTATTATTCCCTCCTGCCTGTCTCCCTGCACAGTGTGTGGCTGGGTGATCCTGGGAGTATTTCTCAAGCTGAATATGTTACTGATATCCTGGAAGAAAGTAGAGGGCAGGGAGCATTCTCTTGATGCCCACCCATCTGCCTTGGGGAGATTTCTTTCAGGTTTCCTAAGGGTCATGGATCACTTCCAAACTTCCTAGAGAGGAAACTGAGGCAGAGTAGCACGGACTGTCTTGAATCTTTTAACCAGTATCTTTGGAGGAGCCTTAGTTTCTCAGCTTCCTCTTCCTGGATTCAGTTGTTCTCTCCAGCCCCAGCAAACTCCTTTATCAATCCAGAAATGAATGAGCCACCCCCAGATCACCTCCTGGTATGTGCTTTGCCTTCTCAGGCAAAGGTAAACAGTTTAGAAAAGCATTTGTGTCCACTTAGAGCCACCCTACAGGATGCAGTTTCTAGCAATCAAGCCTTTTACCCCAAACCAGGAACCTGACATCAGCTAGCAAGCACCCCACCCTGACTCCATGGCCAGTTTCTGAATCCTTCATGAGTGTACAGTCCTCCTCCTCCTCCCAAAAAGGCAGCTATGTAGGGTGGAAAGAACAGGTAAGTTGTAGCAGCTTTGGAATTCCTCTCTGGGTCTCCTCAGATACACTACTTCCTTTTTCTGAACTGGTTTCCCCACCAATAAAAAAAAAATTAGTTCCTCCCTGACAGGATTGTTGTAAGGATGACATGAAATGTGCTGTCCTCATAGAGGTGCTCACTGAGTTGAATGGGCCGCAGAACACTTCCTCTTCATCCTCTAGATGAGGTGTCTGGCCAGCTCATTCTCACCAACCTCTCCCTGACCTCCTCGGGCACCTACCGCTGTGTGGCCACCAACCAGATGGGCAGTGCATCCTGTGAGCTGACCCTCTCTGTGACCGGTAGGGATGCTGGGTGGAGGCCAGGCCAGCAGCCTTGTGTTGGGGAAGCTGTGGGCTGGTGGGCCGAGGAAAGCCTGCAACTCTGAAGGTCCTGTATCTCCTTAGAACCCTCCGAAGGCCGAGTGGCCGGAGCTCTGATTGGGGTGCTCCTGGTCGTGCTGTTGCTGTCAGTTGCTGCGTTCTGTCTGATCAGGTTCCACAAAGAGAGGGAGAAGAAGCCCAAGGAGACATATGGGGGTAGTGACCTTCGGTGAGCAGGAGGGCTGGGGGATGGTGCAAGGAGGGAGGAAGGGGCTTGGGTTAAAAGCAGGTGCCTGCAGTCCTCAAACTCCAACATCATTCAGTGTGTTTAGGGGTAGGAGGTATTGTTCAGCCCTGGGATTTGCTGGTGGCAGCAGTATAACCTGTGTATTTGAGGGTGCAGGCAAGCAGTACAGGGTGGAGTGGCTGGTAAAAGCTGTGGCAGGGAAGCTCAGTTTGCAGGACTACCCTGCCCCTCCTCATATTTAACAAAGTTTACTTTTCTGTTCTGAACCACCTGGGAGTAGTAGTGGCTTGTAGATGCTGGGAGCTGGATTTGTCCTGAGCAGTCAGCTGAGTTCAGTTCTTCTGTGGAGGAAATCAGGAAAGGGGAGGAGAAGCTGCCTCTGTCATCCACTTTAGTTGCCAGTCAGGGTCTAGGATAGAGATCAGAGCAATATTTCTCCAGGTGGAGTCCTCAGATTACCCGGACAGAAATCACCGGGAACTAGTTATACATTCAGATTCAGGCCACTCCTAGCCTTCCTAGAGTTGTGTGTTAGGGAGTGATGAGACCCAGAAACTTCATTTTGACCAAAGTTCCGCAGATTATTCTCAAGCACAGTGAAATTTAAAAGTCCCCAGGTTAGAGGATGGCCCTCCTCTGCAGGAGGCTTCTACTGTTCACTAAGAACTTGCCTATACCCATCAGGGAGGATGCCATGGCTCCTGGGATCTCTGAGCACACTTCTATGAGGGCTGATTCTAGCAAGGGGTTCCTGGAAAGACCCTCGTCTGCCAGCACCGTGACAACCACCAAGTCCAAGCTCCCTATGATTGTGTGACTTCTCCCAATCCCTGGGAGGGCGGTGAGGGGGAATATCAATAATTAAAGTCTATGGGTACCATACTGTCTCCTTCTTTCTGCTGGTATGGCGAATTCCTCCAGGCGGCAAGAGTATTAACAGTAAGAGAAAGAATGGGCTTGAAGTCCGAGAAAAGGTAGGCAGGAAGTTTGGTTGGGTCAAAGGGGTAGGTTTCAACCTAGGTGCCTCTCCACTTCAACCCACCAGCTCCCGATTTTTGGTTTGGCCCAAGGAGACTTGTTCAAGTTCCAAGCGGAGGCCTTGTGCACCCGAACTCCCTCCCCCGGCACCCTCTGAACACTTGGACATTCCTCTTTATTGTTCACATTCCAACCCAGCACAGTCACATGCACACACGGAGATTAAAAACCTTTCGGCCACAGCCCCAGGAGCCCGGCTTGGGGGGGGGGGGAGGGAAGGAAGGGCGGGGCCGACGGGGGCGGGGCGGGGCCGTGGAAGACTCCTCCTACCGAGCCTCCCAGGCGCTCGGCGTTTGCATAAACAAGAGAGCTGGAGAGGCTGCCCTCAACAGTGCGCTGGGGAAAGGGGAGGGAACGTGACAGGCAGGTGTGGGATAGGGACTTCTCTTCCGGTCAGAGCAAGGGGCGTCCGAAACCATAAAAACACTTTCCCTTCATCTCACCCCAGATCCAAAGTCCTGAGGCTAGGCTGGGGCGGGAGTGGCACGGAGATGTAGGGCGCCCCTTTTAGCTGCGCACAGAACGAAAGAACTTGTTTTTTCTTTAAGTGAGTGTACTTGGGTGACGCTTAGGGCGCCCTCCGCAGTGCGCGCAGGAAAGCGCACTGAGGCTGCGGAGGCAGAGCTGCATGCTGGGTGCGGGAAAAGGTGGGCGAGAAGCAAAAGAAGGAAGATTTGGGAACGCATGGTTTAGGGTGGGGTGGAGTGGAAGGGCAAATGGGGACCATACTAGACTGCAGAACTAACTAAAAGGGCACGGACTCAGCGACTCCGCGACGGAGCCTGCCTGGGTGAGGGAGTCTCTGGGACGCAGGGGGCTCCCGTAGCTGGCAGGTTGCTGGGCAGGAGGGGGTCACAAACACGGCAGGGAAGTCTCGTCGCTGCGAAGGGAACGCGGCATCCATCTCTCCTCGGGAACTGAGGACAGAAAAGGTCTGAGAACCTGCCCTCTCCCGCCACTTCCTCTTCCCCCTCCTTTCCCCCTTTCAGTACCAGGATTCTTTGGGCGGGGAGTGCCAGGGGGCCTCAGTCACCCAGAACCCCCCACCCCGAGTCAAAGCGCTGAAATGCGCCCCGCGGCAGGTACTTGTGCGAGCCGCGATGTATTTCTGCCCCTCGGCCGGGCTTGTGCAGCCAAATGGGGTGGCTTTGCATATGTATGTCCCCGTCGCAGCCTCGGGGGTCTGGATGTATCAGAAAACCTGCAGGGGCAGGGTGCATTTTCCCCGGCTGGGAGGGGTGAGGACGGGCAGAGGAAAGGGCTAGGGATTCCATCCTTTTCTCCTACTCAGGCGTCCCACCCCGCCGCCTAGGGGCCGTGTTCATCACCTTTGAAAATGCTCAGTTCTTCTTCGGTCCAGGGCGGGGCAGAAAGGAGGATACAGAGGGAGAAACAGGTGAGCTCCTGGAATCCGCCCAACCCTCAGCCTCTAACCACCCACCCACCTCCCATCTTCGATTTCTATCCCCCAACCCTTGGCTCCCTCCACGCCCCCTGCACCCCCAGCCCGCCCTTATTCTCCCCCTGCTCCTTCTGGGGAGGGCTGGGAAGGGCAGCTGTCAGCCTGCCGGCGCGCCGCCCGCCTCACCTGGCCTAGTCTCCGCTGGGGCCGCCGCCCGCGCCTCCCCGGGCCACCCCAGCTCCGCCAGGCCCCCCAGGGCCCGGGCCCTTCCGGCCGCGCTCTCCGCTCTTTATCTTCTTCCGAGCCATGTGGCCCCGAAAACTCGCCTGGATTTTGGCGGCGGCCGCGTTGGCGCCGGGGTCGTCCAGCGGGATGTCTAGAATGTCGTCGTCCGGCTTGGAGCAGGCGTTCTCCTGGGGGCGGAGCAGGAGGGTTCTTGTGGGGTCACTGTGTCTTGATCCGCGGGAGTGGGGTAGGAAGAGCCCTGAGGGACTGGGACTATAGCGATACGGGGGTGGGAGGTGCGGGGTGTCGAGCCTGGAGCAGGGCTATGGCAGGGACACGCACTGGGGCATGGGCAGCGACAGGCGAAGAAGGTTCAGGGCCAGGTGGACAGTCATGTCTCAATTCAGGAAAGAGAAGTGCAGGCAGGACTGGGTGTGGAAGAGCCAGGCCCATCACCAGCACCGAGTTAGGGGTCTGCAGAGCTGATTGGAGGCTGGTTTGGAGCAGCAAGGAAAACAGCGGCAGGCACTCCTGGAGTGGCCGCCTGTCCCCCTGCTCTCAGAGGGTAACTCCAGCTCAGAAAGACCCAGTGTGAGTCCAGGGTTTTCCATGGAGAGGGTGGAGAAGCCTCAGTCCGCCAGCCCTCTCCCCAGTAGAAATGCAGGAATCTCACAGCTGGAATTGGGGAGAAGTTGGGGATACTAGTCAGTGAGTCAGCCTCCCCCGACCTAAGACTAGAGGCCCAGAGATTGTTTTCCCATTGACTCTTCATTTTCCACTGCTCAAGGATGAACTCAGACACAGGAGATAGGCGATGATTTGGATGAAGTGATAGAGAAAAGTCTTCACTCCAAGGAAAAAAAAAAAGAAAAGGAAAGGAAAGGAAAGGAAAAGACCAGCAGGGGCAAGAAGCCCTTCCCAGGGTGTGCTTATGACCAAGAAAGGAATTATGGTGATAACTACCACTTAAGCACTTATCTTGTTCCAGGTGCAATAACAGTGTTTTACAGGCATTATTTTATTTAGTCCCTCAAAATAAAGCTATTACGTACCCTTTTATGATTACCCCTAATAAAACTAATGATTAGACTGTTTAAAAACCTACCTGGGTCATACAGACAGTTACCAGTGGACCCAAGATTCAAACCTTTGTATTTCAGAGTCCAGAATATATTTTTACCCCTACTTTTTAGGACAAGCAAATGCAGCCCAGTCAACCAACCAAGGTCTACCATTTGCTATAGGTGTGTGGCCTTCGGCAAGTTATCTCATCTTTTCCTATCTCAGCACCTTCCTCTAAAATATCAGGATAATATTATCTACCTCTATGGGTTGTGGGGAAGAATAAACAGCATGATATGCATAAAGTCTCTTGCACAACCTAGCTGCTCAATAAATGGTAGCTCTTATGATTGTCTTAAAAATAACATTAAGTTAATGTGAAATAGTTGTTCTTGCAGGCCAAAAGTGGTCATATAATAAGAATTTCATATGGTTCAACCTACTAATAATTAGGCCCACCTCTATGCTTCAAACTAGGTTTCTGTTTCTCTGATAGCCTGCCCTGGTTGAAAGTAGAAGGGGTTGGGGGATTGATGGTATAGATTGCAGAAAAAAGGCTATGGAATGGAGAGGAATTCAGCCTCTGAGCCCCTTTGTTGCTTAACATTACTTGCAGTATTAGCGTGGGTCAGGATGGGGATGGTTACTGTGAAGTTAGAAGGACATTTCTCCTTTGATCTGGCTCTCTGGCTTCTAGGAATTTGCCTCCTTCTTTTTTTTTTTTTTTTCCATGAAGTCTTCCACTGCTTTGACTATCTTTTTCTTCTAGGACACGAGATGACCAAGGTTTCACATAATAATGGTAATTTAGTTCTGCACATTCGCTCTCCCTGCCATCATCCATCCAGTTCATAGAAGTGGATAGGATATGAGCAAGGCTTCAGTGATCACTGTCCTAGCCAGATTCTGCCCCAGGGGCACAAGCCTTAAACTCCAGATGCCCAAGCCCCGGCTTAAAAATGGCTCCCCTCACCATGTTTCCCAAGGTTAGCCTCATTTCCTGGGCTTCACATTCTTCCATTTGTGCTCAAGATGCCCACAGTCGATTTAAACACAGGTAAAAGGAGTTACATTTTGGTAGAAGAGCCAAAGAAAACAAAAGTTACAAAAAGGCAGGTATGGTTGTGGAGGGGCCCAACACAGGTCTAGAATGCTCAGAAAAGACTCCTCTGGAATGTTTTATTCTTAGAGCTCAAGTCTTTCTTGGGATATCCTCAGGGAACAGTAAGGCTTCTTCTCAAAAGAGGGTGACAACCATAAAAAAGAATTCCTGACCTACCTCTCCTCCTTGGCCTCGCAGCTGTGGAGGAGTGGGAAGGTTGAGTGGAGGAAGGGATATCTGCCTCCAACCACGCTAGACCCGACCTGCTGTCACCACCCGCCCCAGCTGGATCCAGAATGGAAACCTGGAATAGCAGGCAAAGCCACCCCCGACACGCCATGTTCCTCCCCAGAACCAGCTCCCTCTCCTTCAGCTGAATTGTCAGGACACAGCTGCCAGGTTGCCAGTCCACAGGTGGAAGTGGAAGGGGATTAAAAGGACCTGGGAAGAGGTTCATTGGTCATGGTGTCTGGCTAGTGCCTTCCGAAGCTACGGTTGTTGGTGTGTGCCTGAGAGTTCCATAGAAACTAGGGACTTCTGGGAGGGAGGAGGAGGTGGAAGGGGCCCTGGTCGGCAAAGCAGGAGCCAAGGCTTCTAGTCCCAACTGGGCACATCGCTTCATTTCTGAGAGTCTCATTTTCTTCAGCCACAACTAATGAATAAAGTCTCCTTCAGCTCCCAAATCCAAATAGCTTTAAGGATTTCCCCTGCTTGCTGCTTGTTATATGTCAGGCCCTGTACTAAGTGCTTTGCACATATTACCTCATTTAATCCCCATTTTGAGAAGTCAGGAAACAGCCTCTGAGACATTTTGTAACTTACCTAAGGTCACTCAGTTGACAAATAGTGAAGGGATGGATTCAGTAGCCTCTGCTGTTAGCCATTGCCTCAGGGCAGGTAATTATTTCTATGAATTCAGCAGGGCCAAGCCAACTAGACTAAGCAAAAGAAATGAGTAGGATCAAAAAAAAAAATGTTTCTTTCATGTGCTTTTTCATGCGCAGTGAATGCAGGGAAAGTCATATATATATGGCTATGTAAATCAGCAACTGCAATATTTGAATCAACAGGAATAAAAAGCCATTCCTCTGTCTCTTAAAAAAAAATAGGCAGATCTGTTTTCTTCTTCCTCATTTCTATTTGAGCCTCTGTACCAAGGAGAAATGAGAAGAGAGGACTAGATTCTTCCCAAACACCAGGTGATGCGGTCAGTGAGGAGAGCTCCAGAATCCAAGAGGAAGAGGGACCTGCCTCTAGCCCCCAAGAGGTATGCTGTTCTTCCTACACATCGCAGCTCCCTCCCAGCACTGAGTCCCGCCCTCCACAGAAAGGGGAAGAAAATGCCCCCCCCAGCCCTGCCCTTCCCCAACCCTCCATCCATCACCCTTTCTTCTTCTTCCTGTCCTCCTGCACAGTCTGATATTGGTGCTCTCTCTTGCTCAGCCCTAAGCCCTGCAGATCTCTAGGACAGGGCATGACTTGGGAAGGCTCCTTTGTACAGGGTGCACTGGAGGAGGTGCCCCAGGCCCTGGGCCATGGAGATAATTGTGTATCTGCTTCTTCTTTACCTTTTGGGTGGGTAGCCTTTCCTTGTTTAAGGGACACTGACTCGAACCATGTCTACTAATCCTTCAGTATGGTTCCCTGGGCACTCAAGAGCAATAGTTCCAGGAAGGGACCCCCACATCCTACTCTAATTACTACTGCAGACACAGAGGAGACCAATTCCATTCCTTCCCTGGCCTCCTGGATTCTTTGTTTACTCACCTCTTTCCAATGACCATGTCTCCCACTTCCCCTTTCCCAGCAACACTCCCCTCTCATCCTCACCTCTCCCCTCCCCCCAGCTCATTTCCCAGAACCCACCATCCATTTATCTTCTCTACTTTATACAACACTGCTGGGAGGAGGGGCTCTTCCTCAGTGGAGCCCAGGAACCTCCATGAGGAGCCCATTTCTCCCTTCACAACCAAAAAATTGCTTCCTGTAGAATAACAAGCAGAGGGAAAAGGCTGGAAGGAGATATGTTATCGGGGTGTTCTTCAGGGGGTGGGACTGTAAGTGACTGACATATTTCTTTTTCATACTTTTTCTAGTTTTTACATTTTCTATTATGAGCAGATTACTTTTATAATCAGTAAATATTTAGAGGAGAGGTTAAAGCACAGCTCTTCGAAGAAGACAGGGCTATGTTTGAATCCTGCCTCCACACTTAGGAGTCATGCTTCCTTGGAAAAATCTAACTTTCTAAACCTCAGCTGGCATATCTGTGAAATAATACCTACCTCACAGGGTTGTTGCGATGATTAAATATAAAGTGCTGACTACAGGGCAGGCATTCAGAAACTGGCAACTATTATTGAAACTAATAGGAGTTAAAATCGCAGCAACCACCACTTGCCCCTAAGTTTTCTCTGCCTCTTTGTACCCAGACATGGGAAAGTCTCACCTATTATAGTACTGGGCTATCCTTTCCTTCCAAAGCTCACTTGTTTAACTTTACTGTGCCATAAGGTGGCAAAGTCAGTAACCTCGTGTATCATCAGCTGGTTGACTGAATGACTGAAAATACAAGGACTTTGGAATAGTCTTTCTCCGAGTGCAGAGGCAAAAAACAAATACGCAAACAAATACATTTCATATACGTATGACCACTGTACTCTTCCAGTGAGGCAGGAGCCAGGGCCTGTGCCAGGCGCTTTCATACCTAGTCACCTTAACAGCAACCCTCTCGGGCGCTGGGCACTCGCAGTACCCCGGTTTCCGCGTGGGCGCTGACAAATTGCAGACACTTCCTTCCCTCGCCAGCAGGGCTCTCTCGCGGTCACTTCACCCAGCCCCTTCCGAGCGAGAAGGCCTTGGGGGCCGGGACAACCCCTCCCTAGAACCACCCTGACTAGGCTCTTTGCAGCCAGCATCACTACCGAGCTAACCAATATGGACCAGCCCGCGCTGCACAGGGAGCTTAGGCGATCGTTGGAGGGTCATGAGAATCAGCCTGTCCGCCCACCGACGGCGGCGGCAGGGGATGGGGAACGGATTGGGGGCCAAATGACAGGAGAAAGGAGTCGCCGCAGTGTCTCCAGGCGATGGTTTCCAGCGTCCCACTGGGGAGGAAGTTCCTCCTGTCACCTAACCTGCAGTTCCCCTGTTGCAGAGCCCTGCCGAGCTCCCAGTCCAGCCCAGGCTGCCTGGCGGATGGGCGCTCAGACGCCCCCGCGAGTTGAGGAGCATTTTTCCTACGGCTTCCAAGTCGGGCGGGCGCCTTCCACCATCCACCACCCACGTCTCGGCAAGGACCCCTTTTCTTTTTGCTCCTAGGTCTTCTGCATCCACTTCCATTCCTCACTCGCCCTTCAGGGCTTTCTCAGGCGTCTCTCGCAGCAGACCCCGCCAAGTGCCCCTCCCCCGGGCCCTCTAACTTACGGTGCAGCAGTCCATGCTGGTGTCGGGGGTCCTCGGCGGGGACCAAGGCTGGTGCAGGGCGGGGGTGGGGTCTGTGTGGTGCCGGGTGGGGGCTCTGGGGCAGTCGGCAGCCAGCCGACCCGCGCCGAACCTGCAGCTCAGCTCTCGGGTCCGGTCTCCCGCGCTCGGCTCCGCTCGCGAATGTAACCTGAGCCCCGCGGCCGGGAAGCCAATCAGGAGCAGCCTCCGGCAGGGTGGGCGGGGAGAAGTGGAGGGAGGACCACGCCCTCTCGCGGCTGTCTCCACCGCGCTCCCGCTCCTGCCCCAGCCCCTCCGCCTACACGCTTGCATCCAAGCCTCCTACACACTCCATCCTCCCGGGCGCAATCCCCTGGCTTGCTAGGCGGCAGACTGCCAGGCAGATGTACGCCGGAGTAGGCAGAAGGAGGACCCCGACACCCCGAGCACAAACACCCACATCTGGGCACAGCACCCCCTCCCGCTTATAGAAAACCACGCACCCCTCACCCACCCCTCCACACTTCCACAACCTAGCAGGAGTCCCAAATATGGCTCCCTCTAACTTCACTCCCCCTCAGTCCGCAAAGAAAGGCTCCCTAAGACGTGCGGTAAAAAGGTCTCATCATCACTCCTACTACAGACGGAGAAACCTGTTGGTACAACCTGGCCATGGGCATGCGTCCACGCAAAAGCTCACAAGCCCCACATGTCCACATATGATTTTCCCAGGCCGCCTTCCAACATACAGACACTGCAGACACAACCTGCAAAAATAACTACGCAGCCCTTCAGTTTCAGGTAAATGTGAACACCCTGTTGTGGGCGCCCGCGCGCTCACGCACGCACACGGTCACCCAACTCAAGCTGTCAGCACGACATATCTATTATTGATCTGTCTATATGAGCTGCAGCAAACAAACAAAATCATATATGCACAACATCTATTTTTGATGCATTTATATATGGGCACCGACTTGGAAGAAGTATCCTCCTCCCTTTCATACCAGACTCGGCCTAACCTTTTAAGCTACTGCCTCAGAATAAGACAAAAGCTGGCCACACTCGCCCTTGCTCCTGGGAAGAAGAAAAATACCCTAAACCCAAGTATAGAGAATTCGAAGTAATTGGCTCTTGGGTCCAAGATGAGGCAGGATGTGGGCTTCGTGAGAGGCTGGGAAGGGGAGCTATGGAAAGAGCATCTGGGAGGGACAGCCTGCCACTGTTGTGGTCGTCAGCCTCCCCCAACTCGGCAGGGTAGAAGAGCTGGCAGTGTGGCTTGTTATGTGGGTAGGGTAGGCCTTCTCTGAGAAAACTAGAAAGTCTTTCTCAGCTAAGGTCCCAGAGAAGGGAAGGGGGAAAGGATGGCTGCTGCTGGGAGCAAAGGTGGGAAATGCCCTGTGGCTTCGGGTGGGACAGCAGATCCTGAGACAGGTCTACTGTACATCCCCAGCCCCCGGCCATGGCCAAGAACCACATGGCAGTGACATGCTTCCTTCCCACCTAGATGTTTGGGCCCGAGGCTCTGCTTGCCAAGGGAAAAATGAGTGGGAGGGAAATGCCTGTGTCCATTCAGGGTGGGGATAAGTTTAGCCAGCTTGCGGGCCCAGGCTGAGCTGGATGCTGGCCGGGATTCCAGGGCTTGGGGTGTAGGGGTGTCTCCCCCAGCATGTTTGGGACCCACCCACTTTTGTAATGAAAAATCTGTTCCCCAATCTGTCTCTGGCACATCCTCCATCTCCCCACCTCCACCAAATGGCCAGATGTCCTGGGAACTCAGGCCCTTGCCTAAATGACGGGCACATCTGTGACCTTAGGTTGTGCCAATTCCTGCGGGACTTCAACTCCAGAATCCAGAGAGGAGAGGAAAGGGGAAAATTAGGGGACAGAGTGGATACCAGGTCTAGACTCTGTGCTTTTCTCTTCCCAAATTAGAGCTGAGGAATTCGGGATTTGGTGAGTTTGCAGTAAAGTCTCCCAAGTTGCTAGGCAACATCCCTCTGCAGACTGCACTGCCTCTGGGCCCTTCTTCCTGCTGGTCAGAACTGAAGGGGGGGGTATCTTTACAACACTCCCCCCCCCCACCAACTCCCACACAGGCAACACAGCCCTTCCCTCTTCCTGAAGGACACCTTTGTGTGGGGTGAGGGTGTCTCTGAACACTGGAGGGCCCATAGGAGGACAGATACGGCAACTGTCAGTTCCATCCGCAAAGCAACCATTTCAGCAACAGCCCACTCAGGGCGCCTACGCAGAACTGGCCACAGTGCTGGCCCTGGGGGATGGGAAGGCTCTGAGGTGAAGAAAAGACAGAGAGGAAGGCAGAGCCTGAGATGAGAAGACAGACACTCACAAACTCAAATACCAGTGGCAGGAGCAGCAACACATATGGCCTCATAGAAATTACACACACAGACCCAGAGATGCAGACACACACACTGCCCACACACCCAGAGACACACACCCTGCACGGGCTGTCACCCACTGACATCCAAAGACACGCTCAGCGTGGGCCCCTTAACCGCTGTGGGGCCGGGGCATCCACTAGCCCTAGTGAAAAGTCCCTCTTCTGAGCCTCTAGGTGGCTGGGGTTTGCCAGCAAGGTAGACTGGTAGGACTCAGCCTGTGATACTCAAATAGATGAGCTAGGAGAAAGGACAGATGCAGTAAGGGATGGCTGGGTCTGCCTCTGCAGGCTCTGGTCTTTGGCAGAATGATGCCAAGTTATACTCCCCATGGTAACCTGCCTGGCCTAGGACCTGGGTGCCGCTGGTCAACATTTGGAGTATGACTTACTGGCCAGATGGGCTTAGACTCGTAGTTGTTCTTGATTTTTCGAATTTTAAAGCTGCTCATCTACTGTGTGCAGCCCCCATAGCTACTGAAGGAGAACAGCTGGCCTGGAAAGGAGATGAGCTCTGGAGGGGAAGGGTCAGGTTAGAGAGGCAGCTGGGGCATGTTGTTGGGTGCCGTGGGATGGAACCAGCAGGAAGCACGGAGGTGAGAGGGGTAGGTGAGGGATAGACAAAAGAGAGGATAAAAGATGGATTAGTGGGAAGCTCCTGTGGTCCAATACAGATTCTTCTTGGGACAGATGGAAGGGGATTTGGAGAGGGTTGGTCCTAGTAAGCAGGGAGAAAAAGCCAAGGCATGTGACAATCTATTTGCCAATAACTTGTGGCTTCCCCTCCTCGGAGTGGGCACCTTCTGAACATCACATCCCGGCTCAAGCCCACGGAGGGACTCATAATCAGAAGGGGGCTAGAAAGTAAGAGGCCTGTGCCTTTGGTGGAGCTGATCTGGGGGCTTCTTAGGTCAGGATTTTACCCATTTGAGTGGAGGGGGTGGAGGTAGCAGGAAATTCAGTTTTCTCTGCAAATATTTCAGCTTTTGCTGTTGTAGTATTTTTAGCAACCTGGTTGGCAGAGGAGGAGCCCGGGTACATTTTTAAAGGGGCCTCTGCCAAGCTGGAGGCCTCTTCCCACCCTCACCCCACATGTCAGAAAGGAGAGGGGGAGAAAACACGTGGTTTAAGGGGTCCATTCAAAGGTAGAAATCAGGTTTGCTGGACATTAGGTGACCGTTAAGTCATTTTCACCAGTAGTCATTTCGTTCAGTCATTGTCAGCATCGTGATTGTTACCAGCATTATCAAGAGGAGTAAATATTTATTGAACTTCTGCTATGTTCAGGGTGCTGCTAGGGAGGCAATATGGAAGGCTTGATATAATATATTTGCTAAGATGGGGAAAGAACCACTATTCCAGAGTGAGTTCTAGGCTAAATCTGAATAGCACTTTACAAAGTGCTACCACATCTATCATTTAAAGTGGTGTTCTTGAGAACAGTGTGAGGAGGTATTAGTCTTCCTTTCTTCCTTCCTTCCTTCCTTCCTTCCTCTTTCTTTCTCTTTCTTTCTCTCTTTCTTTCTCTTTCTTTTCTTTCTTTCTTTCTTTCTTTCTCTTTCTTTCTTTCTTTCTTTCTTTCTCTCTCTCTCTCTCTTTCTTTCTCTCTCTCTCTCTCTTTCTTTCTTTCTTTCTTTCTTTCTTTTTCTTTTCTTTCTCTTTCTTCTTTTTTTTTTTTTTTGAGACAGAGTCACACGCCGTCACCCAGGTTGGAGTGCAGTGGCACAATCTTAAGCAACCTCCACCTCCCAGGTTCAAGGGATTCTCCTGCCTCAGCCTCCTGAGTAGCTGGGATTACAGGCGCCCACCACAACACCTGGCTAACTTTTTTGTACTTTTAGTAGAGAGGCGGTTTTGTCATGTTTGCCAGGTTGGTCTCGAACTCTTGGCCTCAAGTGATCTGCCTGCCTCAGCCTCCCAAAGTGCTGGGATTACAGGAGTGAGCCACTATGCCCAGTCTAGGAGGTACTGTTATTTCTAAATTTTTTCTGAGGAGGAAACTGAGGCTGGGAGAGGTTAAGTGACTTGCTATTTGTCCAGCATTAGGTCTCTGTTGAAATGCAGAACTAGGACTAAAACCCAGGAGCTCTGACTTCCAATTCTGTGTTTCTCCTCTACAGTGCTCCTAGCATATGCTAAGCAAATCAGACGTAATCTCTTTTCTCTTGGATGTTGTAATCTGATGGAAAAAGTACATATATGTGTGCATATGTGTGTATAAAATAAAGTAATGAATGAGAGATACCAAAGGAATTAAGCTGGCAGTACCTGTTATGGGAGTTGAGGTGTGGGAGAAATGACTGAGAATTTGAAAGGTCAAGGAAGGCTCCCTGGATGATGGTTTGAAGCAAGTGTGAATCTAAAAGTATCTGAGACAGTTATCAATCAATTTGGAGCGTTCATTTTGCCAAGTTAAGGAAGCACCTGTTGATATATCCTCAAGAGGTGCAGATGACGTGTGCCCGAGGTAGTTGGGCATAAGCTTGCTTTACAAGCTTGTACAAGGGGTACAGCTTGCTTTTATACTTTTTAGGAAGACATAATACATCAATCAATACTTGTAAGATGTACATTGGTTTGATCTGGAAAGATGGGACAACTTGAAGCTGTGGTGGAGGGTGGTGGCTTCCGGGTTATAGGTAGATTTAAAATTTTTCTGATTGGCAATCAGTTGAAAGAGTTATTATCTAAAGACTTGGAATCAATAGAAAGGAAATGTCTGGCTTACATTGATAAGCAGAGTTTTATCATGCAAACAAAGCCTCCAGGTAGCAGGCTGCAGAGAGAATAGATGGTAA